GGAAATTGAAAGTTCCAGATTTTTGGTATTATCTGGAGATCAATAGCTTTCCTTTGCATTAAAATTCAAGGAACTCGGCCCGGAAGTTACTCAGAATTAAGGATAACAAGGTTTCGATCCCTACAGTTTTTTTAATATAGATAAGGCTTATACGCTACACTGATTAAATGTATTATTCCTGAATTACAGATATGCCAACAATGGTTTATGCAAGGTATAAGGAGTATGGTAGCTTGCTCCGTATTTGGATAGGCGGCTTTCCCCTAGTTTTTATTGCAGAGGGAAAATATGCTGAGGTAAGCATTTAAAATTGAAAACATTAAAAACGAAAGACAGTATTTATCCCCTTGAATTTTGTTCTGTTAGATAGAGAGGAGTTACGGAATTTATGTCGCAAAAACGCAGAATATTCTTTGAAACATCTTATTTTGGAAGTCTAACGGAGACTCCACACAGTCCTCTTCAAAGTCACTGAAACATATTCTAATAAAAAGCACAAATAATGAGTTTTAACCTCATACAGCGAATTTGATGTACGTTTAAAGTACTTACTTACTTACTCCATCAAGATTTTGTTTGTTTTCCAGGTATTATTCACATCAGAATGTACCGAAATCAAACCTGAATTTTACCGCTTACTTCACGGATGGCTGGGGCTTGGACTCCTCACCAGCAGCGGTAGGTACCAGTACCTACAATACAAAGCACTGACGATTTTGCAAGGTGGCAAAACTGTATTTCCTGCGTTTGAATCCATTCCAAAAATCGATTCTAGGTTGGGCTGCCTCACCGAGGATTTATTGTTTTACATCAAAGATTACTAAGGACTCCAGATACCGCATTGGAATAAAAAACGGCCCCCTAGTCCCCTGCAGCTTCAGGGTAGGCAACCTGTTTAGCGGTATCCTGTCGAGCTAACGAATATACTGTTTGCCGTGTGTTTGACCGGTTTCGCCGTGCTGTGCTAAGCTTGGTTAAAAATTCACTGTATTAAATTTTCTTTTGTTTAAAATCGTTAAAAAATTCCGAAAAACCAAAAAAAAGAAGAAAAAAAAAATTAATGCAAATACCTCTGCTCAATTTTCTGAGTTAATTTACCATGACTAGTGACTAAAATGAACAATTTTCGCAATTTGCCGTTCATAATCTG